AGCAATATACTCTCCTAATTTCATAGGACATCTTCCAGCTAGAAAGAGATTAACCACCTCGGTAATAGAGTCAACTAACTCATCTGAGACTGCCACAACAGCACCACTCAAGCAATCCATAAGGTGTTGAGCACGTAAACCATCCCTCCCACATGATGTGCCACGAGGAAAACTCTTAATCCGATCCAATACAATAGCAGAAGTCGTAACGAGATGAAGGTGATCAACAGGAATATCAGGCAAGGATGGAGCTGGAGAGAAGGGTGCTTTGACTGTAAATTCGCAAGAGTGGCCTCATTATAAGGAGCAACGCCTAAAGAAGAAAGAACCTGGACTGCAGCGATGTAATGGCCATGGCAAATCTTCCTAAGACACTGCTTGATATTACGCTCTTCCAAATTAAGGTCCTCATCATCAACCACTGACAAAGTAGGAGAATCCTCTGCCAAAGTTTCCTTCACAAGCTGCAAACTACCACCTGGTGCACTCCAAGAACAAATAGCACAAGAAATACTCTCTTCCTGATGCTCGCGTTTTACCGAAGACTAAGACTCACGACTACTCCACGGGCGAAAGGTTTTAAGGGTACAAAGAGGTAACACCAACAAAGAGACCCAATTAGAAATGTCATCAGGCTTAGAGATCACCTTATCAAGAGCACCTTTCCAAACCCGAGAAAATCGCAAACGACACTTGGAAGGGATAGACTCAACAGTGCAAAACCCCTTAGAGAACAAACAATCAAGGACAGCCACATCAAAACCACCGTTATGATCTCACACCAAACCATCCACATGTCCAATTCGAGTAGGAGAAGAAGGAGCTTGCAGCTTGGAAAAATTATGAAGCATAAAACGAACAATACCATCTCCTTCATTAGGGGGTGACACATCCTCACCCCTACCGTGACGACACTTAGAACGTAGCGTTTGTGTTTTGTAGACAACCCCACATAACCACCCCATACGCGTAAAAGTAACTTCTGCCTCAGTATAAACAACCAAATTAGAAGTAAGAGAATGTCGGGTGATATCTTGCGCACCGATACAACAATTACGATCACTAAGATGCTTGATTAGAGAACTTCTAGTAAGGCCATTTCCACTCCCATCTTGACAGCCACTAAGACCCACAAAGGGACAATGAAACTTCACAACGATAGCCGACATAGCTACACACAAACATGCACCACCAAAAACTACCCAAGCCGCAAGAAACACTAACAAAGCCGATACGAGACAAAAACAACCAAATATAATAAACAAAATTACGCTGTAAATAGCCCCCAAACTGACCAGAAAACGACTTGGAAACTACCGCCGATACCCATATAATGATGCCTTAAAACTACACCCAAAACGCATAAAAAACTCCACCCAAAACGCACAAGAACAACTAGCTAAAAATTGACCAGAAAAACTAGTCCACAACCAAACCTAAACCAGAGCCAAAACGCCTATAAGCTGACCATAAATACGCCAGAAATTGCACCAGAAACAACACCCAAAAGCACTCAAAACTACACCAGAAACTATCGCAAATAAAACACAACCTAAAACACGCGCAAAAACAGCCTGAATTTCACCTAAAAATGACCATAATTCGCCTGAAAACCTGTTTGAAAAAAGCCCCAAAAACCTGCCTCAAAATAGCCCGGAAACAGTCCCAAAAACGCCTGAAAAACCTGTCTCAATGTCACCGGAATTTTGAAAAAAACCGGCAGCAATATGCTTGACAGAACCTTCGCCGGAGAAGTTGCCTTAAAGCCGCCTGAAAACCGTCTACAAGAATGCACAAATGAAGCCCGATTCCACCTAATTTTCACCCCAAAATAGCGTTGAAAGGACCTGAATTTCGCCTGATTTAATTGCACACTAACCAAGAACCCTGCCCCTGACCTAAACGCACCTAAAGCCGCCGGAAAGCTGCCGGAATTTAACGTGGAAGCCATTGACGTCCCCTGCCCTAATTATTATTAATATTATTATTATATCTTTAAAACAGACAAAGTCATACAACATACACAAAATTAGTGGGAAGCCGAGATACAATCTCCTCAAAATTATATCTCAAAAACAAACAAAGTTATACAACCTATAAAAAATTAGAGGGAAGCCGAGATACAATCTGGGGCCTCACTCCTCTAGCTATAGCAATGTCTATCCTAGTAAAAATATGAGCAGCAGCACGAGCTCCAATATCCTGAGTCGTCGAGAACTTCTGAACTCGCTTCAGCAATGCAACAGCTTCCTTCTTTAATTCCCCAAGTGAAGAAAAAGAGAATGGAAGGAAACCATATCCAATTGTCCGACAACTAGATTCGCACTTGACCCGCTTCCGATGAGCTGCATCAGCCACAACCCGTCCAAGAACAAACTCAGATAACCCAGATTGTGTCAAAGGAGAAGACCCTGTCAAGTCAACACAGACATCACGGCCACGATCCCAACAATAAAGTAACACATCAGCAGGTCTTAGGGGCCCATCGTTCCCTGCAGACAACCCAATGTCCACCTCCTTTCTAGTTGAAATCCCAGATCGATAGCAAACATCAACAAGGGTATCCCGAACAACATTATGTCGATGTTTAATACCCACCATACCAGCACACGACACTGCGTGATCACCGAAAATATCCCCAGTAAAAATCCTTGAACAAGCAGAGCACGACGTTGAGACAGAGAACAAAGGAACACCCAACCGGTAGCACAACACACATCGGTAAGTCTTTGCGTTCATCGTCTGACCCAACCCCGAAATAGAGACCGCTCGAAGCCAAGCAGAGGTGTCACCTCCCTAATGCGATTTCCACAAGGCTGATTGTCGAGGAGATAAAGAAAAGGTGGATTCTGCAGAAGCGGTAACCTTTGTGAAATATATATCTGTCAATTTCTTCTTGAGTTTCGGGCAGCGACCTCAATAGGATTACTCAAAATGTCAGACTCCAACGTTCGATTAAACAAACTCAATGCATCTTCAAAGGCTCAACTAAGACCAACAATGCCAGCATGCTGTGGAAGCTTAGTCTGCAACCGAGCAGACTGTAATCGAGAAGCAAGAAAAGCGTAATGACGAACATCACCTGCGGATTAAACACCAAGCCCTCCAAAAACAAATGGTAAGGTGGCAAACCGCCACTGCCAATCGCCAAACCCAGGCCCCGAAGCAGTAACAATATGCTCCAAGGAAGATCAAAGAGCCTCATCGAATATGCGTTGTGCCGCCTCAAAAGTACTAGGAGGACAAGTACCCAAAGCAAAGTAGAGTTTAGAAACTCCAGTACATGCCCTAAGCAACAACAACTCACACTGAGGATCATCAAGCTTAGCAACCTAGTCCATAAGCGCAATGGTCCTGGTCACCCTCTACATCACAAGCTCACCACTAAAATCAGAATCGGAGCTAGCGGGACCACCAAGCAACTTAACACCATGCAAAGGTCGAGCAATATTAGGGGGAAAGACGCCCACAAGCCTGCTGCGAGGGTTTTCTGTAGGCCAAAAAACTTCAGTTTTTTCCACATTGAAATGTAACCCAAAACGAGACCCTTCCTCCATAATCAACTGCAGAACCTTCCCCGCCACCAAAGTGTCACCAATAATAGTGTCGTCATCCAAATACCATGCCTGAAGACATACCTTAAAAGAATCTCTGATTTTACAAACTAGGGGTTGTAAAACCAAAGAAAAAAGCAAAGGACCAAGGGGATCACCCTGCTGCACCCCTGAGACGGCCATAAGGTGTGGTCCCCATAATACAATCTTGCTGGGTTAGAGTAGTAGAATTCCACCCATCGCGAAATGCCTGGACAAAGACGACGAACTTCACGTAACATGACCGCACGGTCAACTAGATTGAAGGCATTTTGAAAATCGACCAACAACATTGAGAGGCCATCATCAGAACCACGATCCTCAAGCAACCGATTCACAGCATGAAGAATTGCCTCACCACCTGAAGAAACCCCAACACCAAATTGAAGACCATCAAAGTAACTTCCCAAAGACTGGCCAACCATAACAACACCGACCTTCGAAACTAGACATTGCCAAATAGTACCCACGGCTATAGGACGAATACCACTACCGGGCTCGACAAGAGGTGTGAGAGGAGCACTAGCAATATACTCTCCTAATTTCATAGGACATCTTCCAGCTAGAAAGAGATTAACCACCCCGATAATAGAGTCAACCAACTCATCCGAGACTGTCATTGCAGCACCACTCAAGCAATTCATAAGGTGCATTATTATTATTATTATTATTATTATTATTATTATTATTATTATTATTATTATTATTATTATTATAATAATAATAATAATTATTATTATTATTATTATTATTGTTATTTTTATTATTATTATTATTATTTTATTATTATTATAATTATTATTTTTAAACAGAGCAGAGCAGAGCAGAGCAGATTTTGGCAGAATAGAGTAGATTTCAGCACAGCAGAGCAGAACAGCTCAAAAGAACAGGGCCTAGATTTAATTTGAAAGAATATGTTAACGATATAATTGAAATATATTCCGTAATATCAATAATATGATTTTTTTATTATTATATTTAAAAATATCTTATATAAATACTTATAAAATTATTTGAAATTATATTTTATAATGGGAAGAAAATAATGTTATAGTACTCTAAATATTCTTAAGAGATTGATAAAGTAAACAAAAAGTTTTTAAAAAAATATGGTTTTTTTTATCACCTTTAACATTGAGTTCACGATAGAGGTGAAAAAAAAAATCGAGCCGGGCCGGGCGTTAACATCATATCTTGTGCTCAAACTCGTAAAAAAGTAGCGGACTTGTTGGGTCAGGTTTTTAAACTAAAAATGCATATTAGGCTTGTCAAACCCGTCCTGGGTCGAGCTAACGGGCTGGGCCGATGTTGATAACCTCTAGTTCACGGGTACCTGGATACCCATTAGGCCATTAGTATATAAGGAGAGAAATTGAGAATTACTACGTATTTTTTACTTGTATTTTTTTTAAGTTGGTAAAATAGAGTAGCACCATTACATTTGACACCTCCTCTTCCTCATCCTTTCTATCCAATAAAAACACACACCCTCATCTCTCTGCTGAAGTAGCTCCTTCTCTCTCACTCGCTCTCTCTCAATGTCTCTGCCTCTTCCAAGGTTTTACTCTTTTCCATCAATTTTTCAACTTTTTCGTTTTTTATGTCTCATTGCTTTCTTCATTCTTGGGTTTTCTTCAATTTGCATTACGAATCAATTTTAATGACATATTTTAACTAACAAGTACTTCGTCAATTCATGGGTAATTTTGGTCCCATTTAGCTGAATTTGAACAAGTATTTTGCTGCTTAGGGTTTATAAGCTTGTTCTAGTTTGATTTTGTCTGAATTTTGAAGAAATGTATGAATTATGCCTTTTTATCATGCTCAAATATTGTTCTATAGTTATATGAAATTTGCTGTTTTCGATACATTTCTTTGTTATTCATTTGCTTACAATTTTTTCTTGAAACTAGCTGTCTTCTTTAAATTTGGTAATGCCTATCTCATAGTGTTGTTGGGGAATATTTTTTTTTTTTTTTGATAGATTAAGGTGATATTAATCCTTAGGATGATGAAGGGAAAGGGAGTTGTAGATTGCCTTTGTGAATTGATGGTAGCGAAAATCGTCGAAATGGGAGTAAATTGCTGCTGAAATTTTGGTTTGAAATATGGTATATACTGCATAGGTCTGAGTAATTGATTATTGAAGTCTTCTACTGATGATTATTTTATGTGATGTCTCAGCCACATGAAATCTTTACTTTTTGGTGGGAAAATTGACCTTAGTGCGAGTGTCCCTGTCCCTCGCGTTGGTTTTTGGAGGAAGAATGTGGAGTGTAAAGAATCAAGAATAGGAAAGCAGCCTATTACAGTGCCAGCTAATGTGGCAATCGCGATGGAAGGACAGGATCTCAAAGTGAAGGGTCCTCTTGGTGAACTTTCGATCACTTATCCTCGTGAAGTTATACTTGAGAAGCAAGAATCTGGATTTTTAAGGGTCCGAAAGGCAGTGGAAACAAGAAGAGCCAATCAAATGCATGGACTTTTCAGGTATAATAACGTGTGATTTAACCTTGTTTGCTCGTTGAAAGACATTTGTAGAATGCAAAGCATGCTAGCCTGATATTTGAACATAACATACTGTCATACAAATTCATTATTACTACATTTAAAACCATATGCAGGAAATTATCTGTATTACTCAGCAACAAAGCAGTGGTGTTGTTAACATAAGCTTTGTCTATATATTGTATTCCTATTCATTCATAGTTGGTTATAATTCGAAAGGGTGATAATTCCTCGTGTTATTGAAGCTTCTCATTAGTAAATCGTAACTACTGTAGGAATTCCAATACTTTAGGTGGTTTTTAATTTCCTACTACCTACAAATTAATTTTGCTGGGTTCTAAAAAGCTAAAAGAAAACAGTTATTTAATACAGTTGCATTTCCCTTGTTTTTTATGATGTAATGCCCCTTACATAGATCCTAGTATAACCACTCAGCTGTCAACATCTGTCTTCTGCAAGTCCATTGTCAATTCATTGCTTCAAATCCTGCCTAATGGAAACATAAATTGAATACATTATTTTATTTTTTTTGGTGTATAATTCTTTGGACTGCATTTTGGCAAATTTGTTATAGAAAAACTTCTTATGTGAGTTAATGATCCATTGATTGTAGAAGTATCAAGGATGAGTCTCAATCCTCTTGGCTTTTGGTATTGATCATGGGACTAAGATTTTTCAGCATTAACTTTCACTCTGTAGTCTTAGTAGGTGTTGTTACAGTAGAATACTTTCATTTGCATTTGATTTTCTAAGCAATTCTACATTCCATCTTAGGTTGTTTCTTATACCCATGTTAGCTATTAGCATCTAAATCAAAGACCTCAAATTATGCATATGAAGTTATGAACGAGTGCAAAACTGCAAATTATTCAAGTTTTCTTATCCAAAATATACATAAAAAATAAACTACTTGTTAAGTTTGTGGATATAAACTGATATCTATCAGAAGCTTTGAGTTTCCCTTTTCTATACAATGAGTTTGATGTAAGATTAAACAATGGACCTACTTAACTTGAATATCGAACATCTTTCTAAAGTCATGGTAGTGAAGCTGAATTATGCCCTTGTCATTTTCATTTTTGTTAAATTCTAAGAATGCATTACAAAAATAGGCAGATATTTGTTTGAAAGCGCTATGGAACTCCCGATTACCTTACATATTGCTAGCCTTCTTAATTTCTGACAGATCTCATAATCGGTACTTTCCAAAAAAAGGAAAAAATGGTCTCACAACTGATGAAAGTTGCTCATTTAGCAGACTCCCTGAAAGTCATTTAATTGGGGAACTGAAATTCCAATTTTTTGAGTATGTAGTTCTGATTCCGTAGAGTTTTATACTGTGACTTAAATTGATGGGTACATGTTTGTTGACCTGGATTGATATCTTGTCAGGTTCCTTTTTTTTTTCCACAGCTTCTTTGCTCTGAAAGTGTGCCCTATCTTCCTGATTTCACTCTCTTTGCTGATGAACTTTTTTGTACTTTTCCTTTTCTACCTTTTTCCCTCATTTCCCTGACTTGAATAAGTTTTGCACCTTTTCTTTTCTGAATAAGCCTTTCCTTTCCCTCATTTTTCTTATTAAGATATTTTACAAGCATTATCATCCTCTTATGTTCTATTGCTTCATTTTTCTTGACTCTTTTAGTGTGAGAATAACTGCTCTAAATTTGGCCTCTGTTTCCTTGAGATTACAGTTTGTCTTGGTGTGTAAAATAACATAACAAGTTAGTGCTAATAGCAGGGATGAAAGACATTGATTACTCGTTAAGATGTGATAATAGCCTTTTGAATAATTTTGGACCTAGTCTCAATAATGCACCCAAATTTTTTATTTATTTATTTTTCTCAGGACCCTTACAGACAACATGGTAGTTGGTGTTTCTAAGGGATTTGAGAAGAAGCTTCAGTTGGTTGGTGTTGGATATCGTGCAACGGTTGAAGGGAAAGAACTTACATTGAATCTTGGGTTTTCTCACCCTGTTAAGATGACAATTCCAGATGAGCTGCAGGTTAAAGTGGAGGAAAACACCAGAGTAACTGTTATTGGACGTGATAAGTCTGCTGTTGGTCAGTTTGCTGCATCAATTAGGAGCTGGAGACCCCCAGAACCGTACAAGGGCAAGGGTGTAAGATACGTTGATGAAGTGGTCCGTCGAAAAGAAGGGAAAGCTGGAAAGAAGAAATGAGAAGATACAGTTTTTTGTACCTGGTCTTTTGTGCTATTTTACTCACGTAAAGTCGATATTGTACTCATCTGACTAAGAAAGGAATACAATGGCTATGTACGTCTAGTTGCTGCATTACTTTTCCTGTATTGATTGACTGTAGTTAACCTCTGCTTAGGCTTTCATAAGTTTTGAAATGATTAATTCTCAATCTCACTGTGCTCTGAGTAAACGGAATATTCAGTAAATTGTCCTCTGCTTCAACAGCAAAACAGTTACAGAGTTACAGAGTTGTTGGTGCAACATGTTCATACAGAATTTGCCTAAATGCTTATATTTGGATTATTAGACTGAAAAGTCAGATTGGCTTCTTAATTCTACAGAGTCAGGGCTGAAATATATCTATGAAATCTGAAATTATAACCCCTACTATAGCTAAGATATGCAGAGGAGAAGCAAAAGGCAAGCTGGACATCAGAGTCGCAACATTTTTTTTTTTTTTTTTTTTTTTTTTTGGTAAGTACAATTTTATTACCAAAGAGAAACAAGGTACAGCTAACCAAAGCTTAGCAGCACCAGCAACCATAACACACAACCAGCCAAAAAGAACACAAAAACAGCAAACCAAGCAAGGCCACAAAATAGAGCAACCTGCTGCCAACTTCTAGGAAGGGTAAACGTGCAAGAGTTTATCAGTGTCACAACTTATAAACGTGCAAGAGTTTAGATAGAACAAAAACCAATCAGATTGTAGGAAGTTTAGAGTATTTTTATAGTTTGATCCATGTTAAATTAATTAATATCATTAGGATACAGTGTTTGATAAAGGAAGAAAATCAAATGACATTAGTGTAAACTGCAAGAAGAAGGTCAAAATTGGGTGAGTGAAGCCTGCACACAGATGTTCACTCGCGCCCGACAAGGCGAGCCCTTTGATTGATTTTGTGTAACCTCCCAATTAAGAAGATGATTAAGGTGATTTAATCCCCATGTTTTTTTTAATTTTTATCACCCCCATTGATGAAAGAATCTTCTATGTTCTTCCATCCCTCTCTATAAATACTTGGAATTTTTCAGATTTTAAATACAGATTTTAATTACACACATCAAAAAGTTTAAAACTCATATTTTCTCTTTGGGCATAAGTTACTTAGCTCCAACCTTACACCTGAAAGTGCTTTTATATGAAAGTGGTGTATTAACCTTGGGGAATGTGCCCAAATACAATGGAGCACCCCTGTTGCACTGGAATTTCATTTTCAAGCCAGTGATTTGCATCAACTGGTTGCAAGATTGTCATTTGGATCTTACTTGTTTACTTTATACTATTTGTATTGTCATTTACAAAATAGGAAGATAATGATTGTGCCTCTTGGGATTTATTATAAGTACTCTCTCCGTTTTTATATAGTTCCTCCATTTCACCATGCACGGAATTTTAGGAAAAATTAGAGAAAGTAATAAAATATGGAGGTAGTGGGGTTAGTGAAAGGTAAATTGGAGAAAAGAGAAACTAAAGTTTATACGAAGTAAAATATAATTCTATTAGGTCTCACTAGTTGAGATAAATGAATTAAATATTGTAAAAGCTTTTCAAATAAGGAATTGAGCATGTATTTAAAAATGGTCGGAAATGAAAGTAGAACAAGTATTTAAAAACGGAGTAAGTACTTAATAGTTTTTTCAATCATTGTGTTTTCGGCATTTAATAGTTATTTTCAGTTATTGTGTCTAACTACCTATGAGTTTACTTTATATAGGGTTTATGTCCACAGATGATGAGAAAATTATGATCGTAATGTACACATCAGTATAGTCTGTATAGATTAGTGTTGCAAAACTATTGATTCTGGAAACACCTACAACACAAAATAAATTATCCTTTTCCTAGACATTATTTCATATAGTGTGATTTATCCATGACCATTGCTTTTTCTTTATAGAAAGATTGACAAATTCTTGAATCAAATCATATAAATGCATTAAAATTCAAAATATATTACATTTTAAAGGCAACGAAGAAATTAATTAACAATCAAACCAATTTATGTTTGTTTGAGCTCGAGTTTAAAATCGAAAAATACAAATGGGAATGTTCATGAAGGAAAAGAAAGGGCGGGAGGTGAAGGAGAGGGAAGGGAAAAGAAGGGGAAGGAAGAATGGAGAGTTTTCCTTTCAAATCTCTCCATTGTTGGAGGGATCATTTTCGTAGAATTTAATCCCTCTATTTCTCTCCCCTCCAATTCCCTTCATCCTTAACTTGTTATCCAAATGAAAGATACTCCCTCCCTCCATTTCCCTTCCATTCTTTTACCTTCATTTTCTTCAATCCAAACACAGTCTAAAATTCAACTCGACTCGAATCGTTTGCAGCCCTTAAACCCCATCTACAACATCAATAAGCAAACTAAAGTGTATGGGAGAATCTTATTAAAAAATGTCCAGCTATAATTGTTGACATTCAATTTGTATACCCGTAAATCAAACTTGGAAATCATTGACTCTTAAATCCACCATTCGATTTTCCATCATCAAAAACGTCGTCAAAACCTTCCAACCATTCAAAAGTTGTCAAGATCCACATCAAAGTCATTCAAAAGTGCATGATTCCTAGGAAATTAGCATGCTAATTTGCAATTCTACATGAACCTGTACAGCATAATGTACTTTTATGGCTTTAATACATAGTTTTGACTACTATACACAGCCCCAAGTAGAAAGTCGGTTCAATAAATACAGCTTGGAAACTTTTATGTTATGCATTTTCCAAGAGTACTACTACTACTTTCACCCCAATTCCATTTTTGTTAAGTGAGAAAAAGAAACTTCAAGTCTGCTTCAGTTAACTTAGCCAGAGCAGCTGAAGATCCTCCAACAGTCCTGCACAGTAGAATTGAGTAATTAGGACTTCATGCTTCCCACTCCTGTTTTTAATTAAACACAGATAAAACTCACCCTTCGAAAACTAGTTCTTTCTTCTCTTGCAGCTTTAATATTCTTTCCTCTATGGTATTCTCTATTACGAATCTTACAATTCTGTATGAGCAATAGCATAAAATCATTAATCTAGGGATAAACATTTCCATTGTCAGGCATCTCATAAAGTCCAAAAACTAGGACATAAGGACAAGAAAATGAAAGACCTTATTGGCTTATACTGCCCAATTCTGTGTATCCTATCCATGGCTTGTCGCTCTGTTGCTGGATTCCACCAAGGATCCATCAAGAAAACCTATTATGAAGTATAATTTTGGACAACTGAAACTGTAACTAATGAAAAATAACAATGTACACCCAAAAGAAAAGAAAAGAAGTAATCTAGACTATAATATAACTGCTTACATGTGAAGCCACAGTAAGGTTGAGTGCAACACCTCCAGCCTTCAAACTAATGAGGAAAATTCTGCATTCAGAGTCCTCATGGAATCGTTTTATTGCATCGTCTCTGGCAGTGATAGTCATAGATCCGTCCAGTAGGACACAGGTTATGCCAGACTGAGAAATCATTAATCAACTGCATCAATAAATGGCTACCAATAGCAAGATTGACATTTATGTTCACAAAAAATGAGAAGCGCAACTCTGGAACATTTACCTTTTTCAAAGAATACATGATCAAATCCAAAAAAGACGTGAACTGGCTAAAGACAATCCCTTTTGCAGAACCATCTCTTTCAATCATAAATCTGATTTCCTCCCTCTAGGTCATTGACGTCCAAAAGTGGAATCAGCAAAGATAAAATTTTAGAAGAACGATTTATAAACAGTGTAAATACACAGTGAATACAATTCACAGAAGCTGCAGTTAAATACTTAAAATTTTTGCCATTTGACATTTTGACAAGAGAATCCTTGATCCTCCTTTACAGCAAAGGAAGATAAGAGTGGTCGCTGATAGTTGATCCACATTAAAGAATAGGTTGAAAGGGCAACAAGCAACTCTTGACTAAGAAAAATGAGTATAATCATAGTTCTCATTTGACTAAAACTGATACCATAACACAATTCAGGGAAGAATTAACAGGAGGGAAAAATTAACCCGCCTATTCGGATACACTTGACCAGTGAGACAATGAGATATTAATAGTGGCTAGATGACAGATCTTCTACTGTCTTTTATAGGCAAATTGAGGGCTTAAATCATGACAGAAAACGGATAAAATTATGCTGCACTCTCTCACTGTTAACATACTCGCAGATCAACCAACATCTCTTCTTTATATTTGAGTTAAAATTGAAGCCCAAATTCACTTAGAAGCAGAAAGTCAGCAGTTGAGTAGAAAATCAAGTTTCTGCTACCTTTTTCAACATGCCATTTCACCATTTTACAAAATGCTTTGAAAAGTATTTCAGATACAGATTTGAGGCCATACTGAGAAGTTGCACGAAAAAAAAAAAAAAAAAATGAAACGAATAACAGCCTTCAATGAGAGTAATTAGTCTAATCTTCCCCAGCTTTCCAGCTCCAAGCATTTTATTCTATTTTTTTTTCCCCTTATCAATAACATAATACTAAAATAGACACTGGGAGTGACACGTGTCACATCCTGGTGCTGTTTTTTCCCTCCAAAACTCCCCTTCTCTTTTAAACAATTTTTTTTTTTGTTAATATTTGATTCTATAATAATATCATTCCAAATCATTTATATTATCTTTATGACAAATATATTCTTTTTACTTCGTGTTTATAATTTTTCTATACACATTTACCTAAATAATTATTCCAACACCTTTTTAATTATCCTTTAAATGGAGTATTATTAGATTTTGCCAAAAAAGTAATAATAAATTGATTCATATAATAGATGTTAAAGAAATTACTTTAAAACATCACTTAGATTTTTTTTTTTCCAAATACCTCTAGCTAATATCTTATTTCAATTTCATTATAACTATATATTCAAATTAATTACAATTTTGTTCTGAAATTTTACTACTACGTATATATTATCACAAATTAAGAATTTATAGAGTATATTATAACATATGTCTAATTCTAAGGAAAGGTAAAATATCAATTAATTTTCTTTGTAAATTACGTAATTAAAACAATCAATATCATAGTAAAAGCAAAAAAAATTATTATCTTTTGCCGATACACTTGATTGAGATGATAAATTTATTACTTCGACATTCATAAATAATCTGCATTCTGAAAGACACGCCATACTTAGTGACAATTGACATCTCCTTTTGTATCTTCTTTTCTTTTGATATATATCTATTATCTACAATTAAACTTTTAAGAAAATAAACAAAATTGATTAAACTACAATTATTGGATAGCTTCAAACACATTATTTATAACAACAGAGAATGACGATATCGTATATATAGAGCATCAATCCATAAATAGAGAATATAATAATATAGATTAGTGTTTCCCAATTATTGATTGTTCTTGCCTTTAATGACAGAGTAGTATTTGTTTCCATTGAAAAGATTTTTTGCTAATAGTTTTATTGGAGATTTTAGTTTGTTGTTTGATTAATTTTTTATGTTGATTAAAAATGCATTTATAAATAAGTATTTACTAATATGGTCACTAGACTTGATCAAACCAAGCCTCGCCTGAAAAAAATCTCAGGTTTGGAGAGCCCAAAAATCCATTTTTGTTTAATTTTTTGCTTTCCCTATTAATATAGACTATGACATTATAATATATATTTGATGTGTATGTTTTATCAAATTTTTATTTGTTGGATATAATTAATTTTCTTAAAAATTTTAGACTTGAATTACCGTGCATGACACGGGTCTTAAGCTAGTTCTTAAAAGTGTACCACCCATGCAATTTAAGACTCATTATCACATCTTAAAGAACAAAACAAGCTTCATTTAAGAGTTGCAAGAGCTGCACCCGCTAAGCAAGTCCTCCAGGTCATTTAAGACAAAGCTTGCTCAGGGTTGATTCTTTTTAAGTCAAAGGTGAACCCAAGCAGGCTATGTGCATTTCCAAGTTGATCCTAAACTTATGTTGTCTCATTTGTTTTGTTTTTATTAAATATACTTGACATGATTTTAGAGTTATATATAATTTTTAAGCACTTTCATTTAGTTTCAAATGCATCAAGTTCCCATCAAAAATACTTTCTGCTAAAATACATTAAAACTACTATTAAATTTCCGAACAATGAACAAAGAGTTATTATGTGCACTCATATGTTAAAGCTTTAAGCCAACCATTTAGCATATAAGCCATCCCCAATTGTTGCTAGGCTTGGTTAGCTTTGAGCAGAACTTCAGCTAGCCATCTAGAAGACCAGGCCAAGCTCGAACGAGCTTGACTTAACCTTGACTCAATTTGGTTACACTAACTTTCCCACTCTTCTCTATGCTTCTAAACTGACAATTTAGACAGCCACCCCCCCCCCTTTTTTTTTTTAAATATTGACAACCCCTCTGTAATGAATGAAAGGTTTGAAAGTAATTAAAGGTAAGTCAAATTATAGGTTTAAAAAGAATAGGTTTAAAAGGGGCTTCCATGTTTGATCTAAGAGCAACAGCCCTAAGATCCAAGTTAACAAATAGTTTGAATCAGAAGTTGCCCTGAATAATCCGAACTTTGCCTCATCCGCCCAAAATAATCCCAATTTTGGATTATTTTTTAATAATCCGAACTTTGATGTGAATCTACTTCTAATGGTCCCAAGTGACCGGTAACGTATTGAGTAGGTAAATTTTTTTTTACTCACACCCCCTCAACCACCAAACTCGAAACACCATCCACAAATATTTCAGCTTTATCTATAATGAACCAACTTACTCAGTTGTCGTAAGATAGAAACCAAATGATGCCCCACCAATCAAAAAGCAGATAGATACATGTCACATATATCAAGAGCAAGATCATAAGTTCATAACCAATTCCAATCCCCCCTCCCAACACCACCACTGAAATAAGCAAGACCATAAGATAAGACAATGGGTTAATGAAATATTTTATTAAAGGAAATATCTAGACTTCTACAATTTTTTATGCCTAGTAATGCAGAAAGTATCAATCACATATATAACAGAAATAAAGTATTTCTCACAGCACTGCATTCCATGTAAAACCATTTTACCCTACCAATCAATGCCTTAGAGTGACTAAAAAAGCTCCATACCAATGCATCAATCTTTGTGCTTGTCTGAAAATCATCCAGATGGATCCTGTTCATGATGCTTGAGCTTTTAAACCCATTAACTGACGTCTTTGATCTCTGGTCTCCGATGCTTGAATTTGAAGTAAAATCAGCAGTAAGTGGTTTCGAACAAGAAGGGCATGAAGGTTGCCCCAAGGAAGATGAAAACTCAATGAGACAAATTCTACAAAAACAGTGTCCACATGATGTAACCTGTCATCAAAAAAAAAAAAAAAAAAAAAAAAACGAGATTTAAGAGAGAGAGGAAGTCTAGTAGGATAAGAAGCATGCGAGGTAAACAGCATAGGAAAAATTAACATTTATTTACACTACACACAATCATATACTTCGTATGAATTCAGACTTGATTACAAGACAAAATTAACTGTCTCAAGCTGAAATTGACCAGGCCGACCTACCAAGCCAGAAAATTAATATGCCGTTCACCGATTATTTAAGTAAATATCAACGGACCTGGAATGACCTTAATGGAACCAAAGTTCTTATTATTTGATAAAACCCATAGTTATTAAAATCTCAATTTAAATCTTAGAATCTTACGATTTTACAATTCATGCATATCCATAAGATTCGATTTACAATTCTACTCAACTTTTCATAGTTCTCTTAACTAGCGAAAACCTTACAAGTTTAAAACATGCCTACAAAATTATTTATAAATATATGTTGTCAATTATTGGTTGCTTAGTGGGTAAACAATTATTTTTTTATTAATAATTAGCTTCATATTTTAAATATATTTAATGAAAATTGGATATGATATCTACGATTCTACGATTTGATTCTCAGAGCCCATTTTGAATCAAAGTAGAATCTCGATTTTGATAACTTTGACAAGAACTGAACCAAATAATCTCAAACTGAATTTGACGTGAACAACCCGTCTTCCACTTCTATTTATGATGGCAACTATGCCAACAATGACCTTGATAAAACTCACAAACATCAAACCTTTAATTTCTCCAATTAAACTTTCAGTTGTCTTAGGTTGTCTTCAGCCATTGTTATCAATCAAATCTATAAATGTAGTGCCCTTAGGTATGATTATTGTGATTCGTTTCCTATTCCTTAAACCCAAAATTCTAGATTTTACTCTCTTATCTATTCAAAAAAAAAAAAAAAAAAACACGTCCAAACTCAAAGCTTCAAACCCACACTCAAATAAATCCTTGGTGAGAGCTGTAATTATTTAGTTCAAAACGTTTCAAATACTCAAGCTACAACATAGATCTAACATCACTGTGTTTCCCAGAAGTTGTGACATGCCAGTAAGTCAATAAGACATCAAATTCACAACAGAACGAATACTTCTCAAGATTTAATTTTGCAGTTGTTGGATAAAAGAGAATGATTTATCTGTAACCACGCAGACCAATGAAAAGTGAAATAGACTTAAATTTGATATAGTTGCTACCAACCTAGCAGGAGTTCAAATCTTACTGTAAGATCCTCAATTGGATCATGACAAATGCCACATGCTTGTTCTCCACTGTCCTCTTCCGCCACACTTTCATTCCTTAAACTATTGGCACGAGAATATATCACAAGATATGGATGGTCAACCGCCTGTACCAATTGAAGAAAAAACAAAATTTAGATTTCATCTAATTACATAAACTCCATAACTCCATTACACTATATATAATGAAGCCACTAAGAGTATGAGATATTCTCACAAAGATGAAATTTAATTTCCTGAATTCAATAATTCTCAGCAATACTGGCAGCTAGCTAGAATCCTATCTGATAGGCCAGTAGCATCATGTACCTCCGCCTATTCCTATTTACCATATCAATTGCTTCAAAACAAGGGTAAAGTTGGTCAATTTGATGCTGACCAGGTAGCAAAAGAAATTGAAGATGCATCTGTTTTTGAGATATTATGTGCCACTCACAACATGTTGGGAACTATGCATTAATTAGGTAATGAAGAAAAAAATAAAGAAAATGAAGATGAGTATGGGTAGTACAATTGTACAAGGATAAAGTAGTAATAATGACAGGAGGAAAAGAGTGATGGGAATATTATTAAGGGTAATGCATTACCAAAGGGGGTGGTGGGTAACTATATTACCCCCAAAACGATGGTAATAGTTCCCCATTCCTCCTTCCACCAAACAAACTTACTGCCTCATTCCATTTAACACTTTCAATCTCATTGTATTTGGTAAATGTGTGAAACCTAGAATCAATACAGCACTCTTACACCAGCCAGGCTAAGATCGAATGGGACAAGAATGAACTGGCTGGACATCTACTAAACCAACTAACCTGTTTTTTATCACAAAATTCCACCAACTCCAAATGAGCACTTGCTTTGAGTTTAACTAGGAAGGATAATAGCTAAGGCTTTATGTGCATACCATCAACATATAAGCTGCTTCTTTCCTTTCTTAAAACATAGCTTTCTCCATGCAAACAGAAACAGATAAAAATAAAGAAAAAACTCAACGCAGTTCTTATAGAACATATTAGGTAAAAAGCAAAAACCATTCAGAAATAAGAACTTGCTATGTGTATTTGGAGTGCAATTAAGTCCAGTAGTGGGCAAGCCTGCTTTAAGTACATTCATAAGGGAAGTTGTTCGTCAATGAGAAAAGGACTCACAAAAGAGGCTAAGAGAGACAGCGAAGTCTATTCCGCCAACAGCTAACATAGACAGCGATATATAGAAGAGCAAAATAAGGACCAAAGATGGCTTACTAATACCACTAACTCGGCTTTTTTGGCCTTAGGCTAAAGAGGTATGGGCAAAGAAACCAGACAGGATGCTGTATTTATCATGCACTGTTACAAGCTGAAAAATCATACTTGTAGAAATGAGGAAGAAGATAACTTGGGAGAATACTGGAAACTGGTTGCTTTAGCATTTAAAAAATATCAATTTATAGGCATGTTTTGACTTCCTTCCCCGGTTCCCTGTCACCTTATATAAATTCACTTTCTCTCCACAGTCCACATCAACACAAACCAACTAATATTCTCATACTCATACCTATATTACCTCCCCCCCACCCCCCGCTCCCTTCATGCTAGTCAATTACATGTAATTATATAGTTACGGAATTGATTAAAATGCGGAAAGTTGAGGAAGGAAATTTGATATTTGTGCCCTGAGCCATTGGCTTTAAAACTTGACCTCTAAAAGCTAGATGACTAATAAAGATGGATTGGTGTTATTTATTAACACGTAGGACCCTTTGACGAACTAACAACTGGAAAGTGGAAACTAAATAGGTAGACGTAGATGGTAAATCAGTCCATTTAAATAGTTAAATAACAGGTACTAAATAACATAAGGTGGACTGGAGCTTTTCTCCTTTATCTCCATAGACCTTGATTGATGTAGCATGAGTTATAGAGAGCTTAATGATATAATGAATGAAATCCTATATAAAAAGGCCTTACTTAGAGTGGACATTAGATTTTGATGTATCAAAGTCACTGATACTGTGTAAGATTAGTTAATAATTCCTAATTCAAAGGAATTTTTAGTCAATCTTGTATCAAGATCATTACTTGTTTTCATGTTAAAGTCGTATTAACCCTCAATATTTGTTGACTATTTTGCTTGAAAATCTGGAATTCATAGAAAACCTTCAGAATTGACTGATAAAGCCTTCATAATCCCCACCCCTACACAGGAGGCTGATAGTTAATCTCCGTGATAAACAAATTTCGTTTATCACGGAGTAAAACCGCTACCTCAAGTAGCGGTTTTAAGGCAAAACCACTACCTCAAGTAGTGGTTTTACTCATTTTCACCGCAAAAATTACACTTTTTTCCTCATGATAAACAAATTCAGAGATAAACTTGTATTTCCTTCCTACACAATCCTGCCTCCCAATCCACCATCCTCTGCTAGATATATGGATAATAAAAAATAAAAGACCTGAGCTGCTAAGGAGTTTATACTAGCTTTACAAAACAAACAAACAAACCAAGAACCAAAAAAATAAATAAAAAAAAATTATGTTATTCAAAGAGAAGACAGAATACTTCACCTGCCGCAAACGCGTAAGTAAGTCAAATATATGAGCATAATTATTCATCAGGGTTCCTGTCTTAACATATCTGCAAGCAAAAAAGATCAGAAAACTTAATATTACTACTGTATAATATAAATAAATCTTGATTTGTAAATAGTCAGAAGCAAAATGCAGCACTTGAAGAGGCACATAATACAAAACACAATCCAGATTGGTAGAATGTGCACAATGATGCAACTAACTAAAAATATTGCCAATGGAGCTCAATAATTCACAGTATTTTATCTTTGAGACATGGACTAAATCAAATTGGCTAGCTCAATTGTCCATGATTACTACACACGGTAAAGTAGTGAAGGTTGTGTTTCAAATTGAAGTCAATTGTAAAACTGCCTCTGTGATGCCCAATAGGATATACACCTTATGAAAGAGCTAAAAAGTGATCATATAACAACCAATATCCAAAATATGTCCAAAACAATAACTCAAAAATTTGGAGTCCTAATCAAGTAGAACGCTCTTCACAATACCACAAGATAAACTAACACCTGGTACAATCATGTGGTCACATTGAAAACATCAACAATATACAAAAACATGATAATGACAGCCAACTTAGAAATCAAAAAACTTCATTTGGTATGTTTTTAGGCTTCACTCACCAAAATATCAAATTTAGAAAGGCTTTCAGTCTCACTCAGGGTAGCTTGAATTGAGACATCAGACAACTTCATCAAGGATTTTTAAATTAGCTTAACTCAAATAGGAAAAAAAAAAAGTGACAAAGGAAGAAGAGATATAACCATGTTCGAAGGAAATTTTTACTTCGTTAATCAACAAAGTATGATGACAATCATAATGCCTACTGGAAGTCTAGAACATGTTAAACACCCAGCTAACATAAGCCAAAAAGGACTTCTAACTAAGCTAGAAGACAATTAAAAAGATATCTCCATGTCCCATTAATCGTGACATAGGATATCACGAACCATAAATTTACCCATCTCTTACCACGAAATATCACAAAAACCTTGGAAGCACATGTCCTTGTTTCTTTATTCAAGCACCATCAAAAATATATCGCTACTTGTGTTTGGATCAAGCAAGACAATTTATCATGTTAGGATCAATATCGGTTCTTCCCTACTTTCCTTTAAATCTATAAATCATCAAGGCCTGTGATAAGAAATTTGAAAAGATATTAATCTGGATATAGTGATTTAGATAACTTGAGGACATTTAACCATGACTATACATATATCTGAACCTAATAAATGGAAAGAAGATAATGTTAATTGACTCTAAAACAATTCAAGGTTAACCAGCACAAAAGAATGATTAGAAGCCAAGAAATCAATATAAAGGAGCAGAAGAACCATCTATTAAGCAGTTCTAAATGACTCAACTGAAATAAAGATATACACTCACGTGTTAAATTGGGCTTGACTTTCGTTGTACAATGAGTGATAATAGTCTTCTTCTCTGATATCCAAAGAATCTCGCCTCAACGACACCTTATTGATCAAAAAAACCAAGTATTAACAATGAACAAATTACAGGAATTGTACTAATTCTAAACTTTGTAAAGGAAGAACTCACAATCTTTGATGGAAGAGCAAGATCTGAAGCCCTGCCAATTTTAGTACGTCTCAGCAAAATGCTCTTGAGAATTTTGTGCTTCAGCAAAAACATGGCTCTTTGTCCAGCCTCGGAATTTCCATGCAATTGTATTGGTGTCGCCACATTCTTGCATATCAAAAGCAGAAAATAAGTATGTCAAGTACAAGATTTGAAGATAGTGGACATCCACAATACTTCAGAAAAAGGGGCGAATGGAAGATGAAAAGGAATCTAATAAGTAGGATACTTTGTTCCACCAGCAAAAATGCCTCACAGATTTGTGACTGCAACTTTTACATTCGCCGGAAGAGCTGAACAAGAAAATAGAATATTAGCTAGAAATCAAATTATACTTCCTCCATTACTCAAGTGGGCATCATTTTGACTTTTTACACTATTCTTATAAAAACTTTGACAGTTTGTTTATTAACATTTAAAATAAATTTCATTATTTTAATAGTGTTGAGTTATACTCAATATATAAATTGTTAATAATTTTTAACACAATAAGAGTAATGGTCAAAGTAGTGTGTTGGAATTCATGTCTAGTCAAAATGATACAACTATTATAACGAAGGTGGTATAATGAAAAACAAAGCAAGAAAACACCGCCTGATTATAAGAAGTAAAAGTTTTTGTAGTACAAGCAGAAAAGGTATAACTGACAAAGCCATTCATTCCCTTACAATATATAATCATTTCCTATGACTAAAAAACTACAAGAATAAAACATGGTTTTTCAAACATACTGAAACATATCCAATTTATGCTCAGTAGTTCAATTAGGGAAGAGATATGCAAGTAATTCAATCAGACAGAAGAAGATAAAGTAAGAAAATGATATCCACATTATTTAATTGTACTCAGAGGTTGGCATATGCACAACTTCTTTTAGTAAATTCAAGAGTAGAAACAATTGGAGTGATAAGTATATATTAGTATTTCATCTTCTCCTCCTAGAACTTAACAGTCATTAATGTCTAGGTGAACCCTTAAAACACCTCAGGATTTAATAATGGTGATGAATAAAGTAATCCCACCATCCAGAATATATTATAATTTGAACTTTTAATTGGAAAATGAATTTGGATTTTGTAAAAAATAATTAATATGACCAATTTTGGCACCCCCATTCTCTAAATACATGATTCCCCAACGGCCCAGCAGATAGGCACAAAATTTGATCAGAAGAAAGAAATCTTAAAGCATACGTTATCTTATTACCTGTAATCAAGCGTTCTGCAATCACAATCATTGCACATATAATAAGAAAAAGGAACAATTTGTAGAAAGCGGATCTGCATGTCAATGCAGAAAGGAGTTAATACAACAATAGTAAAACAAAAACCTTAACAAATTAGGCAAAAAGAAGCTTATACTTCCTCTGTTCTCTAAATATTGCTAGATTTCCTGAATTGGGAAATTTCAAATTTATTGCTAGACTCATTTTTTAAAATGTGTTCTCTCTATCTCTCTCCTCATCATATACTCCCTGATTTTATTTCTCTCTCTTTCTCTCTCTTATTTCTTAATATGTGCCAACAAGTAGGTAGCAATATTTAGACAGGGTGGAAGTATGTAATAATATCTACAGATGTGCCATTTGACAGAAAATAGAGTAGACAACCAGTGAATAGAGTTCTCCAACACGATTCTGAAGAGGAGTACCACTCAAAGCCCACTTGTAAGAAGATTGCAACGCAAGAACTGCCCTGGCAGTATTGCTACGTCTATCTTTGATGGCATGAGCCTGATTATTGGGCAACAAGTGAAAATAGAAAAGATTTAAATACTTCAGTGAACATATAGTGAGACCAAAAGAAAATTGAAGCCAAAGCTCAGAAGAAAAATATATACTTTAAATACATTATAATGTCAAATCCACTTTAATAAATCTAACCTACAATATTATCTGTTACATAAACTCCCTGTTTTCTCTCCATAACTTCATAGATAGAGACTCAGTGATTTAATGAATCAATTAGTATTAAGGACGTAATGATCACACAATGTGCTCTGATATAAGATTTATGCCTTGCCAAGGCAATTCCCAGTATACTTTTACTTTCAGCGACTAGCCATAAACAACTGGTATGCTTCATTTTCCATCCCACTCTGAGTGCTTATACTCCTAAGTCATCCAAGAAAGCCATTGTTCTAACGCGTTTGGCACAAAACAGCCACACTACTCCTTAGACTGCAAACAACATCATTATAAAACAGAAACTAAAGATAATGTGACTTGGATTGTGCCCAATACTAATTATATTCCAGTTTAGCATTTATATTTGCCTCAAGAAAAGTGACAGCCAAAAAAGCCATTCCTACACTTGCCTAATTCAAGTTGCAGGCACACTCTTGCATATAAACATACATAGACGCAAATTTTAACATAATATTATATTAAAGAAAACCCCCTACTTCCAACAAATGGACGTAGAAAAAGAAGATACACATATGCTGGTAGCATGAGTATAATTCATGGTTAGCTTAGAGAGGAAGAAGGGAGCTAGTTAGAGGGAATGGAAGGAGAACTGTTATATACAGAGGAGTTTGAGAAAGAGTATAAGCAAATTTGTTGGTAACTTAATTCAATTTGATTGAGTGTCTAGCCACCCAAAAGACTGGGACTATAAACCACATTTGATGATTAAATAGCATCCAATCACAATATACTATCATTTCCCTTCAAATTCTCTTTTTCCTCATTTCTACAAATCTGACTTTCCATTCGATTACAAAACCTTAACTAAAATTAGACCGGATAAGATCAAATCACAACACATACAAATAAAAAGGAAAAAAAAAAAAAAAAAAAAAAAAAAAAAAAAAAAAAAAGAGAGAGAAGCAGATTGAATCAATTAATAACCAACTGAACTAAAGATAACATAATACAGCCTATATTATAATAATATGAAGAACTGGTTGGTGTTCACTGCAAGAAAACACAAGACTCTAGCAAGATATACTACCTTAGAGACCTTCAACACTAAGAAATATGAAAATTATACTGACCTCATCCAATACAATACGCTCCCATTTTACAGAGTGCAGAGCTGACTTGCGAACATGTGCCTCAAAATTGTCAAGATCCTCCTCATCAGATCTACTTCCGGATTCTTTTGAGGGATTATACACTTTACCACTCTTCTTATGATCATCTTCAGTAGAAATTTTCAACACTTTCCAGTGAAGTTTCTTACCCTTTTTCTCTTGCTTAGACTGCTTCTCTGTTCTAACTGCATTAGGCCCACAATAATATTTGAGATGAACAGCCATCCTCCGCTCATGAAATAACTTGCCACACCATTTACACCTCTGCTTGGGTGGTAACACTTTGCGATAATCAGCCTCTATTGTGTTATAAGTGGTGATTATAAAATCATACTCTGAAAATTGTAGAGCATTCTTTGCTCTCTTAGACCCTTGATAACATAGCACTTTTATGCTTCCCTCTATGGTAAATCGCTCAATCTCCCTTTTCCACTGATTTAAAGCAGACGCGGGACAGATAATAAGGGTACAAGTAAGTTCAGGTAGCGCAGAGGATGACCCAGGCGACAACAATTTATCAGCTCCATTAACGGCTCGGCGGAGTTCTCGTTTAGCAAGCACAAGGGCGATTGCCTGAACAGTTTTTCCCATTCCCATCTCATCTGCAAGAATTCCCCCTCTAGTCTCAGAATCTTCTTGTTTCAACGCCCATGTTAGCCACTCCTTCTGAAACCGCAACAACTGCCCAACTAGCTCTGAGGGTTCCTCATGCATTTCATCAATTACATCGTTCTGCTGATCCAAATCAACATCATCAGTCATATGGCTATCAATCCATTTGCTATGTTCTGCTTCCCATATATCCCACATAAATGTTGGCCTCATATCCCCATTCTTCTTTTTTATCATTTGCTTTTTCATCTTATTTACATCAACAAACTCAAAGCCACTAATACCCTCAAAAGTTTGAGCTCCTGGCTCAAATGTGTTCACTACTTCAGCACTGGGCTCTTCATTTCTCGTTTTCTCTTTCCTAGAGCATTTTTTCCTTTTTATATTGACCTTTTTGGTATTTCTTTCATATGCGTCATCCAATTCACTATCATCCAATCCACTACTATCAAACTCACTATCATCCAGCTCATTGTCATCGTCTACTATGCCAACGTAATCAATATCTGACAGGAGTGAAGGCTCACTCAATTCTACGATCTCGTTGCCATCATCTTGAACTGAAAGGAACAGATAATCATATCAATGATGGATACATTCTTGCTTTCAACTACAACCATAACCTAAACTGAATTAAAGCAGATCTTTTTCATCATCATAAACGGGCAGAATATTAGTCCATAACTGTTGGTTTCCTAATTACAGGATTTGACAAGGAAAACATCCTGTATTCTAGCATGCCACTGTAGCAAATCATCTACAAATAATTATATCAATATAACATGCTAAAATATAAAGTCCCACTCCCCCCATTAGGGATGACAACGAACCTAGCTAACAGACGAATCACCCAAGCTTGGGCTAAAGTTTTTCAAGCTCAACACAAGAGGCTCATCAACAAGCTTGGAATATTTTTACCTATTTAATTTCATATACTTCACAGATTATTAAAACTTGGAAAACTTTTGAAAATCTTGTTTTGCCTATAACATAATTGAACACGTTTATATTTAAAAGTATGTACCGACAAACGTGCCAAAATAAAATGTATTAAGTATCAACAAATATGAAACAGATGAAGTATGATTTACGAAATTCATTCATGGACTCAATTACAAATTACATCAATAAAAAAAATTCTGAATAAACAAATTCCTTTCACTCTCTCAATCTACATCAAACACTCAAATTTATACCCAATTCAATTGATCAAATACAGAAGTGCATGAAAACAACAATCAAAATAATCGGAAATTTCAAAAATTTGCACCAACAAAAAAATAAACAAGAATCAACCACAAACAACAGAAATTTCCGATAAATCCATTAAAAAGAAAAAAAGAGAGAAGAATTATACCGTCGATCGTGGGCTCCTCCAGTACACGATTAGAGCGAAGCTGCATTTTCGACGATGAAGAGGAGAGAGATTAGGGTTTCAAAAATCGGGAATTGATGTCACTGAAATGGGGAATGTGAACGGTAATCGTACTAGTGAAGTGGTGGGAAAGGTGACGGCGGGAAACGGTCCCTTTTTTTATTAGTGTGTTTTTTTTTTTTTGTTCTTTTATTTTTGTGACTAAACGGTTCTATTCCAATAGGTACTGAGGCGAAGTGTATCCAAGAAGCTTGGTGTAACGGTTGCACGGTAGCGAGTAACTTTGAGCGATGGGTATTCGGATAGCTTTCAAATTAACCGACCGGAGTAAATTAGCATGAAATTATCAACTAGTAGTGAATATTATTTTCTCCGAGGAAATGATTTTGGCACCAAAATTAATATTGGCACACCACTTTGTAAGGACACAGTTTTCTAAACTCCTCTCATATAGAGGTGTGCCAAAGTCAATTAAAGGTGTCCCTAAATCAATTTATCCGTGTTGAGAAATAAGTCTAATGTAAATGCCCATTAACCAATCCATTTCTATAGTATATACTAAAGTAATCACCAGAGTTATTCCTAAATTACACGTGTCGCATTTACAACAAAAATTTCCCGTCAAAAACTCTTTATTATTTTTTTTTTACATAATAAAATAACAAGATAAAAAAGTTAATGAACAAAAACTTACAATAATTTTTGAAAATATTTTAAATAATATATCTAATATGAGAGTTTTAAGGGTAGACATTAAATGAATTCAAATTTCCAAAAAAAAAAATAGCTATATAACTAGTTGACTTTTATTATTTTCAAGTGTTATTATATTCAAGCCATTTCATTTAAACTAACTTTACTTTAATTGACTTTTATTATTTTCAAGTGTTATTATTATGAATTCATGCAATTGCACGGGGCAAAAACTAGTTGATTTGTTTATACTCTGCTCAAATACATACAAAAGCTTGTGAACTCATATGTCTACATATGAGATATCATTGTATCACAGTATTGCTTATGGCTATATATATGAAATCGTGTAAATGTACATTCACAGTTCATCAATATATTCACCATTTCTCAGTTAAAATTTTCTATTTAAGGCCCTGTTCACTTCACCTTATTTTTGCTAAACTAAAATTATTTTAACTGAACTGAAATTAATTTTGCTGAACTTAAATTATTTTTACTGAAATGAAATTATTTTTACTGAAAAGAAATTATTTTTGCTGAACTGAAATTAATTTTACTGATTCTTTGTTATATTTCTTCTCTAAAGTTACTAATTTTTAATGAACTGAAATTATTTTTGCTGAGCTGAAATTAATTTACTGAATTGAACTTATTTTTACTTAATATTATTTTTGTAAGGTGAAGTGAATAGGGCCTAACACTCCGCTTTTTTTTCTACTATACCTCCGTTTTTTCCCACATGTCTTACCCAGCTACCATATCTACGCAAACCAAAAAAAGTGGAAATGGGGAACAATACTTTTGTTTTAAAGAGAAGAGGGGTAGAGAGTATGGTTTTATGCATGGGTGGCAATATCATCCAAACCCTATGGATAACTATCCACCCAATCTAAGTATATGAATGAAAACTCGAATTTAAGCGGGTGACAGATGGATGAGTCGAGCGACAGATCGGGTCGGATTTGGGTGATGATACATCCAACCCATCACCCAACCCATCCATCCACCCGTTAAATTAATATAAAAAAAAATAAAAAAAAAATATCTTTTTTAATAATGTAATTATTTGAAATGTTAGAAATTTACATTTTTTTTAAAAAAAAAAAACTTGGTGAAAAAAAGCAAGTATTAGAAAGATATATCAAAGTTTTAATTAGTTAATCACTTTATTTTAATTATGGAAGTGCAAAATTTTATTTATATATTTTATTTCACCCGATTCATCCATCGATGATGGTAGATCGGATGTGGATAAAGGTAAATTAGGTTATGGATGGATCAGATATGGCTGAAGGTAAATTAGGTGATGGATAGATTTGGTGATGGATGGATTATTGGTGGATGGAGGCGGATGAAGCATCACCTAGCCCACCTCTAATACATTGTCATCCCTAATTTTATGAAATATAATTAGGGCTTCACAAAGTGGGGTTATATGTGATAAAAATAAATAAATAAAGGATATTATACCATGTAACTCTATGTTTTAGGTGTTTTTCCTATGTAACCCTAATTTTTATACTGTTGCCTAAGGTAACCCTAAACTTGCAAAAACTCATTAAATTGAAAGGATAACATTGTTAATAATTCTCAAATTAAAATGGTTACAAAAGAAAAGAAGAAAAATCACTCTTTAGGGTTTAGGTTTATAGTTGGGTTTTTAAATTGTAAAGAAGAGGGAGGAGGCGGTGAGAGAGTATATTGCTCGTATCCACCATTAAAATGATTAGAGAAGAAAAATCACTCTTTAGGGTTTAGGTTTATAGTTGGTTTTTAAATTGTAAAGAAGGAGGAGGACTGCATTTATAATTTAGTATATTGCTTGTAAGTTTGATCTTATTAGATTCACATTGTTATGAATTTTCAATGTATTGACTTTGTATAATTTTTACTAATACAATTTCAAATAAATTAATGGTCAAAGTAGTGCATTGGAGACCGAGTAAAATGCAAATGAGTAATACGTAGGGGGCGTTTGGTTGGGGGTTATAAACAAAGGGGAAAGGGAATGGGCGGGAATGATTCCCTTTGTTGTCGTTTGTTTGCCAAAAAATTTCATTCCCTTTCCCCTTTTTTATTTTTGGGTTTACCCAAAAACATGGTATAGTCATTCCCCACCCCCCCCCCAAGCCTTTTGCATTCTCATTCCTCTTCATTACCCATGCCCCTTTCTCTCTCCTCTTAAGCCTCTCAAGTAGATTTGGGCGGTAGTAGCCGAAGTTTCATGGGTTTCGTGGGTGGTTCGTAGATCTGGTGGTTTGTGGCAGTGGCTTGGGTTCTTGGTGGGTTTGGTTTCGTTGGTTAGAATTTGGTTGTGTCGGTCTGAGTTTGGGTTCGAACCCCTCCAACCACTGTCGTCACCCCTACGAAGCATCCAATCTCCTTGAAACCACCCACCCATATTTTGATTTCTGGGTTAATAATCATCCAACCTTCAGCTTCTGCATCAGAAATATGTTGATTATATTGCATTTGCTGATTATATTGCATTTCTTTGTTGATTATACTGTATTTGTTGCAAATTTGTTTGATTTAAAGACATTCTTACATTAGGGATTTTTATTTTTTTTTCTTATTTTTTATGTTTTCATATTACAGGAAAATACGAAACAAGTTTTCACTTTTTTTCATTTTACAAGAAAATATGGAATTTTTTTTTTTTGTGCTTATTATATGAAAAAATAAAAAGAAATTTAAAAATTCATGGTTTGATTCCTTGGTTTGAACCAAACAACCAGGCTAAATTAAAGGAATTCCTTTCCTTTCTCCTTCATTCCCTTTCTGCATTCCATTCCGATTCCCCTGTGCGAACCAAACGACCCCTTAGTAAAATGAAGGTAGTAGATAACACATTCTGTGTACATGAAATTAATGAAAATGTGAAATGGTTAAATTCAATGAAAAACGATAATTCACATTATTTTAACTATATTTATTAAACTTACTCAACTATTCTTGTAAAACTTTTCAAAGCCTAATGCTTTAACTCATGTTATAATTTTGAAACAAAAACAATTCAATCCAAAGATGCAAATCAACTCATTCATAATTGCTCACCAAATACTATTTTTACCAAAAGAAAAAATAACACAATTATTTAAAATTATAAAAAAGTTAAAAATATAAAACTTTATATCATCAATATCTATTAAAAACATTTTTCTTGATATTTTTTATTATAAAAAAGTAAAAATCATAGTGTGTAAAATGGTCAAGCATGTCAGTGATTATGACATGTAACAAAGGTAGTATATTATAATACACGCACTAATATGACTTATTCTGCAACAAGAATTCCTTTTTTGTCCATAGACCCTAGACCCTTCCCCCATCCTGAAGCTCCTCTCCGGCTGAAGAAAAGGCCCACCCCATTCCTGTTTTTTTTTATCCTCTTCTCCCAAGATCCATCAAAGTGAATCTTCACTCCTTGGAAATCTTCCAAAGTGTTCCCTACTGCAAGTGGCTCCTTTCTTAACAATGTGCACAAAAAAACCCGGGGGGATAGACCCACCATCCACCCCTGAAATAAGGTTAACACCTTCACTAGAACCGGGCCTTTCTTGAAAAATCTTTAACTGCTCCGTCGTTAGATCAGTGTGTCTTTATAGCTAGGCCATTCAGGATTAATTTCCATATAGCTAGGCCATTCATGATTAAAATCAGTATCTTCCTTTCCAAAGACCTTGGCATTTCTTGTGACCCAAATGGTCCACAAAGTCGTTATTAAGGTAGTGATACGGTGACTATGTATCCCATCCTCGCAATAGAACATCAGGATATATCTCTGAATCCAATGTCGCAAAGGAGTAGATTCATCAGTTTGAAAAAGAAAACCTAAGGAACAATTACCCCAGGCTTGTTGAGCTACTGTACACCCTCGAAAAAGGTGTTGCACATCTTCATCTTCATTCCCACAAAGATCACAACCAGGATCAACTAGTAACCCATGATAGTGCAAGTTAGCCTTTATAGCTAGGCCATTTAGGATTAATTTCCATATGAAGAGGCTCCACTTCGGAGGGATATTCAGACGCCATAAAATCTAATTTAACAGGGGGGTCAAAATCCTCCCGTATTTGATGTTGATCCTTGCCCTGTAGAAAAGCATAGCCCGATTGTGTCGTGTAGTTTCCAGATTTATGATAACCCCAGTAAGTGAAGTCATCCCTACTGGAACAAGGCAGCTCAAGTTCCAAGATTTATTTGGCGCTACTCCACTTGAACTTTTCCCTTACAATAGGCACATTCCACCTGGTAGGATTATGAAGTAAAACCTCCTTAACCAAATATGTCTCGACTCCTCAGAGGGAGTGATTGGAACTAAGGATCGGGACCTTCCCATTAACCCAGTTCATACTAGCCAGCTTGATAGTGTCTCCCGAGCCCACCTTCCAAGCATAACCTTCATGGAACTTAGCAGAGGCGTTGTGAAGACCACGCCTTCCCCAAGATGGAGAGGGCTTTAACAACACATTCGGCTTTGACCTTCCTGCACTCCCTACTCCATCTATGGTAAAAACTCTTGAGATTAAAAGTTGAGGGTTACAGTGCATTCGTTGAACCTGTTTAAACACCGAAGCATCATTAAGAGGTGCCATTGACCGAATACCTAGCCCCCCATCCCCTTAGGGAGGTGAAGGGTTTCCTTGTTGATCCAATGCATCCCTTTATCACCATTCAACGCCCAAAAGAATCTAGCAATAATAGCATCAATAAAATTTGCAATGGAGAGGGGGAGCCTGAAGCACTTCATGACATGGGAAGAAATACCAATAAGCACCGTATTTATCGGAATAAGCTTAGCCGGCTGTGAAAGATGCAAAGTACTCCATTTAACCACTTTAGCATAAACTTTGTCGACTAAAAAACGAAAAGCATCCCCCTTCTTTGGTGGTAAATCGATTGGTGCCCCAAGATGCAGGCCTAGATTATCACGATCTTCTATGCGTAAAATCTCCTTGAAGGTTTGTCTATCTTGAACTATAGTAGAAGGGCTAAACTTAATAAAGGACTTATTAAGGTTTAGTTGTTGCCCCGAAACCTTCTCAAATCTAGCTAAAATACCCACAATACTCTCGCAAGACTACGAATTGGCTTTAAAGAAAATCATAGCATCATCTGCAAAAAACAAGTGGGAAATTGGTGGTGATCTCTGGTAACCTGATCCCCTTGATGAGATTAATATCCTTCGCCAAAAGCAACGTTCTAGACAAAATATCCATACAAAAGAGAAACAAATATGGCGATAATGGATCCCCCTGTCTCAAACCACAGGTAGGCGTAAAAGGTTCTGTCATCTTTCCATTTATCAAGGTAGAGTAGGACACTATCAAGATACACTGAGAAATCCACTGAACCCACCGGTCGGGAAACCCATAAGCTTCTAGAATTCGGAGAATAAAACTCTAGTTGACTCTGTCATAATCCTTTGACATGTCAATCTTTAAGGCCGCCATCGAGGTTCTAATCTGCGAAGTATTAATGAAATATGAAAGTTCATGGCTAAGTAAAATATTATCCTCCACGTATCGACCTGGGATAAAAGCATGTTGAAACTCCGAAATCAGAGAAGGTAACGTGTGTTTCATCCGATTTACCAAGCACTTGGTTATACATTTATACACTGTATTGCACAAACTAATCGAACGAAAATGTGTAGCAGTTTCCGAATTATCAACTTTAGGGAGAATCACCAAGATGGAGGAGTTAAAATCCTTGAGAAGAAACCCGATGCGGAAAAAATGTTGAACAACCTCAACGACCTTGGCCCCCACCACATCCCAATGTACGTGAAAATTTTTTGCTATCACTCCATCCGGACCTGAAGACTTGAGATGGTGGATAAATGATAAGTGGCATTTATGCCACTATTCGGGATTCATTTCCTTACCTTTTCCCTCCATTTATCGCTTGTTTAGCCCTATTTTGCCGTGCTTTCCAATATATTACACAACAATGCCATTTCCTTCGTACTTCCCCTCTACTTTACCTTATTGTACTATTTTTGGGTGTTTTCCTGTGTTTTGTAGGTTAACCGATCGATACGTGAAGTAGAGGAAAGTTCGGGATAGTTTCGAGAGCCGGTTTCATGAGCAAATCAAGTGAGGAGCTTTTGATCAGGCTGCGCGCCTAGGAGAGCCCTCTCTCCCACTCTGTGCGGGCGCGCAATCCAAGAGAGAGGGCGCGCAATCGAGATGAAATCAGGTTGTTCCCCTCGTAGATGCCTCGCGCCCTGTAGAGGGCGTGCACACTATCCTGCGCGGGCGCGATGATGCCTAGAGAGGGCGCGCAGCTTGGCTTGAAGATTCAGGGCAACTTTCTGTAGATGCCAAGCACGCCCTGTAATGGGGCGCGCACAGTAGCCTTCGCGGGCGCGCAAACCTTAGTAGAGGGCGCGCACATCGCTCTGCGCGGGCGCGCAAAGCACTGTAGAGGGCGCGCACGCTGTCAGCCCAGCCCGTTTTTATTTCCCCATTTAAAAGCTGATTTGGGAATGAATGAAGGCAGCTATTCCATTTAGGGCAAAGTGCTTAGAACATTTCTAGAGAGAGAATAGCCTTCATTAATGCTTGTATAAGTTTCTAGAGAAAGAAAGTTCAGATTATTAGTTTTTTATCATCCAAACTTTAGTCTTTAATCTAGATTAGTGCTTTAATCATCCTTGTAATCAATATTGGAGCATTCTATTGGATTTTTGGTGGTTCACCATTGAAGGTTCAAAAACCCATTTTCTTATTTCAATACAAAGTTGAAGCTTTGTGAGTTCTTTCTATCTTAATCTCTTTTATTTGGGTTTATTTACATATTTCAAGTATTATTGATAGTTATGTTTATGATTTTGATTATGGCCAATATTTTGGGTATTGTTGATATGAGTAGTTTCTCTCTCCTGGGCTAGACTTTTAGCTAGGGGAAGGGGAATGGATGACTTGGTTGCTATTTGATTAAATACTTGATTTTTGGGGATTTAAACCCTTGTTGTATGAACTTGTGCTTATTGTTATATGGTTGATGTTGTGCACCATTTACTATATTATTACATGTCCTAATTGATGCGCGGGAGTGATCATGTTAAGATAGATCGTAGTTTATACATTGCTTAATCAATTGCATGGGAATGAGTTGTTTTAAGTAGGATCTTTGATCCCTTGGTTGTGAATCCTTGATTATCTATGTGTTTAGCTCTTAATCTCCAAGTTTGACGTTCCCCGATCCCCCTAGCGTTTTTAATCTCATAGTTTCCAATACTTGTTAGTCTTTGTTAATTGTTAGAGTAATTTTGTTAGCCTTAGTTTATTTATTGCCTTGTTTTCCACCACTCTTATTCATATACACCCCTTTTAAAACCTCTATTGTTAGCACTTAGCTTTGCAATCTCCCGTTTCTCCGTGGATCTCGACCCTTGCTTGCCTCTATACTGATTTAGGTAAACTAGGATTAATTTGATAGGAAGATGTATTGACGACGACATTCCATTCCTCATCAAATTTTGGCGCCGTTGCCGGGGATCGAACCCGGGTCACCCGCGCCGTTGCCACTCATCAAATTTTGGCGCCGTTGCCGAGGAAACGGTCTAATTTGTGTTGCTTTAGAGTCTTATTTTCTTTTACTTTGAGTCATTTGATTGTGATTGTCAGTGCTAATTGTGCGTTTAGCTTTGTCGAATGCAAAGGAGATCACAGGGACCACCTACATATCCACTTGATCACGAACTCGAACGCACCTTGAGACAAGTTAGAAGACGTTTTAACGAAGATAACAGAGGGTTTGGTTCGCTACTTGATTGTAATAGTGATTCTTCTCCCTTTGCTAGTGAAGCTACCACCGATATGGCGGAGCATGAGCAAGAGAATGACCTTTCTTTATTGCGAGAATTTGGGAATTCGGAGGGATATGAGCTCATCGGAGGCATCTTGTTGCCTATTACCGAGACAAACTTCACCATCCATCCCCAATACACAAGGATGGTGCAATCTGAGCAATTTTCCGGATCCCCAAGTGAGGACCCAATAGAGCATCTTGATCAATTCCTTGAACTATGTGCTATGATACAAACAAATCAAGTGAGCCAAGATTATATACGAATGCATCTTTTCCGACAATCCCTTACGGGAAGGGCAAAGAAGTGGCTCAAATATGTCAAGCCCAATTCTCTCACTACATGGAAGGAGGTTGTGAAGGCCTTCTTGAAGAGATTCATCTCCGAAGAGAAAACCGCCGAGATGAGAAGGAAGATAGCCTCCTTTGAGCAAGATTCGGATGAAACTTTGGGAGAGATTTAAGGAATTAGTTCAAGCATGCCCACACCATGAATACAACCAAAGTTTTCTTATGAGATTCTTCTACGATGGTCTAGAGCCGATGTCTAGAGCCAACCTAGATGCGGGAGCCGGAGGGCAATTGATTAAAATCCCTTAAAATCAAGTTGAAGCCACAATAGAAGAAGTTGCAAAGAATTACTCATGGAGAGGCCGACGGAAGCCTCAAGCAAAAAAGGGAGGAAGATATGAATTGGAAAAAGTTGACCAACTCCAACATCAAATCGAGCTTTTGAACAAGGGGTTGCAAAAACTAAATGCGGGTGGAAATGCCGGTTCAAGCTCCTCCCAAGTCAATGCCTTCTCATGTGAAATTTGCGGTGGAACAAACCATGATACCTCTTATTGTGGGGGTTTGAGTCTCGAGCACATTAATGCTTACAATACTAGACAAGATGGTTATAGGGGGAACAATAGTGGATTAGCTTGGAGGCAACCACCACCGGGCTTCAATAATCAACCTCAACAACATGTTGAGCCTCCCTTCAATCCACAACCACCAAACCCACCACAAAACCAAAACTGAAGAGGATACTACCAAAGTCCTTACCAAAACCAATCCAACTAACAAAATCAAACCCAATACCCACAAAAACATCAAGAGCAAACACAATCACAACTCGACTCAACACAAACCCAAATTCTCCAACAACTCCAAGCCATGAATCAACAAATCCAAGAGCTTAAGGCTCACAACAAGATAGTTGATTCTCAATTAGCTCAAGTGGCCGAAAATTCATCCTTAAACTCTTCTTCTAAACTACCCGGACAATCAAACACAAACCCATCTCACAACCTCAAACAACCCGACACATGCAAGGCGATCACCTTGAGATCGGGTGTTTCTTATGAAGGCCCAAAAGGGAGTGAGGAGGTAGAGAAAGAAAGGGAAGATAAGAAGGGAGATGAGGAGGTAAATGTTGAGAAAGAAGTTGTAGACAAGAAGTCCAAGGGTAAGGACCCCATTGACACTAGAAAATATGAGAATCCGGTACCTTATCCCGAGAGGGTTGCGGAGCAAAAATTGAATGACAAATTTGCAAAATTTCTTGATGTGATGAAAGGGTTACACATTAACCTACCTTTCCTTGAAGTGGTAACGCAAATGCCATCTTATGCGAAGTTCCTCAAAGATATCCTATCGAACAAAAGGAAGCTCAAAGATGAATTTATTACGCTTCCACATCAAGTTAGTGCGCTTGTTCAACATAAGATGCCAAAGAAGCAAAGAGACCCCGGAAGTTTCACATTGCCGGTCAAGATTGGCAACTTGGAAGCCAAAGGAGCTCTAGCCGACCTTGGGGCTAGTGTTAGCCTAATCCCATTGTCCATTGCTCAACAATTGGATATCGAGATGATACCCACAAGAAAGACCATTCAACTAGCCGACCGATCGGTTAAGTTGCCTTGCGGAGAAATTGAAGATGTCCCCATTCAAGTGGGACACATTTATGTACCTTGTGATTTCGTTGTGATGGATATGGAGGAGGATGAGAACACTCCTTTGATTCTTTGAAGGGAGAGATTGAAGACATTGGGGGCGGTCACTAATTGCAAAAACAATACCATTACTTGTGAAGTAGCCGATGAAAAGATTGTTTTTGAATTCTCTAAGCTACTCAAGACCCCCATGGTTGAGAAGTGTTATAGGGTTGATGTGGTGGGTGAGGAGTTAGATCATTTGGGAAGGGTTATGATGAGCCCTCAAGATCCAATGGTTGAAGCTCTTACATGTGAGGAAGAGTACTACTCTCAAGAAGCAAAGGAGTTTGTCATGACCATTGAAGAAGCTAAAAGAGTGGAAGAGAACGATCCTAAGCATGATGAGCTAGCACTAGAAGAGGAGAAATTGGAGGAGCGTTCTAAGCCTCCTCCCAAGGTAGAACTCAAACCTATTCCCCCTTCTTTAAAATATGCTTATCTTGGAAATGAAGGGGAATACCATGTTATTGTCAATGCTACCCTTGATGGGCTTGATTTGGAAAAATTGCTTGTTGTTTTGAGAAAATATAGAAATGTGATAGGGTATAGCATTGATGATATTAAGGGTATTAGCCCTTCGTTGTGCATGCATCGAATCCATCTTGAGAATGATGATGCCACCTCCATTGAGCCTCAAAGAAGGTTGAATACTAACCTTAAAGAGATAGTAAAAAAAGAGATTTTGAAACTACGTGAAGCGGGGATTATGTATGCTATCTCTGATAGCAAATGGGTAAGCCCGGTTCACGTAGTTCCTAAGAAAGGTGGCATGACCATAATCAAGAATGAGAAGGGAGAGGACATCTCCACCCGAACTGTGACTGGGTGGAGAATGTGCATCGATTATAGGAAGTTGAATAAAAATACAAAGAAAGATCACTTCCCACTCCCTTTCATCAATCAAATGTTGGAAAGGTTATCAAAGCATGCATTATATTGCTTCTTAGATGGATACTCGGGATTTTTCCAAATCCCAATCCACCCTAAGGATCAAGATAAGACCACTTTCACTTGTCCGTATGGGACATTCGCATACCGAAGGATGCCCTTCGGACTATGCAATGCCCCATCGACTTTCCAACGATGCATGACCTCTATTTTTACTGAAATGTTGGAGAATGAAATTGAAGTATTCATGGATGATTTTAGTGTGGGCGGCTCCTCTTTTGACATGTGCTTATTTAACCTTGAAAAAGTCTTGAAGTGATGTCAAGAGACGAGCCTTGTTATAAATTGGGAAAAATGCCATTTTATGGTTGAGGAGGGGATTGTCCTCGGCCATAAAGTGTCAAAAAATGGGATTGAAGTTGATCCAGCTAAAGTGTCGGTAATAACCAAGCTACCCCCGCCTACTTCCATTATGGGAGTAAGGGCTTTCTTGGGGCACGCGGGTTTTTACCGGAGATTTATCAAAGATTTCTCTACTATATCTAAACCTTTAACCGGATTACTTCAAAAGGATAAAGATTTTTGTTTTGTTGAGAGTTGCCTTCGAGCCTTCAATAAGCTCAAGGAAGCTCTCAAATCTGCTCCTGTAGTGCAAGCTCCAGATTGGAGCTTGCCATTTGAACTAATGTGTGATGCTAGTGACTTTGCAGTAGGAGTCGCATTAGGTCAAAGAGCAGGAGGCAATCTGCATGTTATTTCCTATGCTAGTAGAACTTTGGATGATGCTCAAAAGAATTATACTACTACGGAGAAGGAAATGCTTGCAGTTGTGTTTGCTATGGACAAGTTTCGGTCCTATCTTGTTTTCTCCAAAGTGATAGTGTACACAGACCACGCTGCGGTTCGGTACTTAATGAACAAGAAGGATGCAAAGCCTAGGCTAATACGATGGGTCCTCCTTCTACAGGATTTTGATATCAAAATGAGGGATAAGAAGGGGGCCGAGAACCATGTTGCCGATCACTTGTCTAGATTACTACATAATGATGTTGAAAGTGTTCCGATAAATGATGAGATGGGTGTTGAGACCCTTATGGCTATCGCTTCTTCTCCTAGCCCGTGGTTTGCGGATTTCGCAAATTACTTAGCTAGTGGAATTATCCCATACCAATACTCATCTCAGCAAAAGAAGAGATTTTTCAAGGAAGTAAGGCGTTATTTTTGGGATGACCCACTATTATTCAAACAATTTGGAGATGGTATATTCCGGAGGTGTGTCCTGGACCATGAAATTGAGAGCGTGCTCGAACATTGCCATTCACTACCGTGTGGAGGACATGGTGGTGTAACTAAAACTGTGGCTAAAATCTCTCAATCTCTACTCTGGTGGCCTACCATGCATCGTGATGCATAACAATACATATCTAGGTGTGATAGGTGCCAAAGAGCGGGAGGCATCACAAAACGGGATGAAATGCCTCAATTAGGTATCCTTGAAGTTGAACCATTTGATGTTTGGGGGGTTGACTTCATGGGTCCCTTCGTGTCCTCATGCGGAAATGCTTATATATTGGTTGCGGTTGACTATGTGACCAAGTGGATAGAGGCTATACCATCGCCAACCAACGACCACAAAGTAGTCCTCAAGCTTCTAAGGAAGATCATCTTTCCAAGATCTGGGGTGCCCTGGACTCTAATTAGTGATGGTGGATCGCACTTTGCGAAGAAGCAACTTGAAGCTTTCCTCAAGAAATATGGTGTCCACCATAAAGTAGGGCTCCCCTATCATCCCCAAACTCACGCCAAGTTGAGGTATCAAACCGAGTAATCAAGAACCTACTTGAGAGGATGGTGAACCGGACTAGAAAGGATTGGTACCTCAAACTTGATGATACTCTATGGGCTCTTAGAACGGCCTAAAAACCCCTATAGGAACTACCCCATACCGGTTGGTTTATGGCAAAGCTTGCCATCTCCCGGTAGAGTTGGAACATAAGGCTTGGTGGGCCATCGAGGAGCTTAATATGGACCTTGGGGAAGCCAGAAAGAAAAGATTGATGAAATTGAATGAATTAGAGGAGCTTCTTTTCGATGCGTATGAGAATTCAAGGCTTTATAAGGAGCAAACAAAGAAGTGGCACGATCAAAGGATAAAGTTTAAAGAATTCAAGGTTGGAGATGAAGTTCTACTTTTCAACTCTAGACTTCGTCTTTTCCCCGGAAAACTGAAATCCAAGTGGTCCGGTCCTTTCAAGATTTCTAATGTTACTCCCTATGGGTCCTTTGAGTTAGATGCGGGCAATCATAAGTTTTGGGTTAACGGACACCGCATCAAACTCTATCATTCAAGGAACGAAGTTGGTCGTATTGAGTGCCTTAGGCTTGATCCCATGGATTACGAGCCTTCTCTTGTAGAGCTTTAATGAATCGGAACAATGGTCAAGCTAATGACCTTAAAAAGAAGCGCTTCTCGGGAGGCAACCCGAGCCCCTTTCTCCCTTTTATCCTTTGAGTTTTTGATTTTTCGTAATTAGATTTTATGATTGGATCTAATCCCTAGTTGTTTTTATTGTAGGTCAAGTAGGCCTAAGGAAGGAGCACAATGAAGAGGATTAACGACATTTCACGAGCGTTTGATGATCTCGGGATGAGAGCTCTCGAAGCCAATTCCGTAATATAGGAGTATGTATCGTCGTTTTGAACTTGAACTTTTATATGTTTTTAATGAGGTTTTTAATATTGATAAACAATTTAGTTTGATGTGTTAGGAATTTTTAGTAGAGTTAGAGGACATTTTGAGATTGATTGTAGGAGGAAAAATATTCTGTAGATGCCTTGAGAGGGCTCTACAGGGCGCGCAAGTGTTAAGGCCAACTGAAGAAAGTTTCTGTAGATGGCATGAAAGCCCTCTACAGGGCGTGCATGAGGTTAGCGCGGGCGCGCAGAGTCCCTAGCGCGGGCGCGCACACTTTCGGAAAAAAGGGTCAATGTTTCTGTAGATGGGATTCGCGCCCGTGAGAGGGCTCTCTCACAGGTTTGCGCGGGCGCGCAGGTGGTTTGCGCGGGCACGTAGGTAGTTTGCGCGGGCGCTCATGTGTTTTGCGCGGGGGCGCACGATACCAGTCCAGAAAAACGGCAGGTATGTATACTTTCACCCCCATTTTCACTCTCAATCTCTCACTTCTCTCTCTCCCCTAAACCCTAACCTCCATTACTAGCCTTCCTAATACCTCAAAATCTCCACCTTTCCTCCCCAAATCTCCCTCAAAACTCATCAAACACTCACCAAAATCTCATTTTACACAATTTTGCTTATCAAAAACCCTTGAATCTCACCCAAGAGATTTCAAGAAAACCCCAAAAACCCCAATCTCCCATTGCACGAACCTAGCCTCCTCGTTGAAGTTTTTATTCGAATTTTCATCTTCAAGAAGGTATATCTAACTCCCTAAGCCTAATTTTCATTACATTTTAATAGAACTCATGATAGGCTTCTTGAATTTGTGATGCTTTTGGGGGAAATTTTGGATTCAATTGAAATGCATGTGGGTATTTTTGCAACTCTTATGATTCAATTGACATGTATATGAGTATTCTTGCAAATCTTTAATTCTAATGAAATACTTGTGGATAATTTGCAATTTTTTGGGATTTTCTTGAAATAGTTAGGGGTTTGTGAATTGTTGGATATAAATATTTGTGGGTCTATGATTTGTAAATTGTTGGCCACGGATTTCATGATGAGTGTGGGGAGTTTGTGAATTTTGGGATTTGTTTGAGTGCTATGTAAATCTCATGAGCTCCTTGCCTATTGACTAACTTTGTTACGTTGTTGTATTCGTTGTGCTAATTGTTGTTTTGTAGGATTTCACTTGATAGTGCAATTGAATTTTTGGGTTGGTACTCTTCGAACTGTGATTTGGATTGATAATTTAGGTGATTTGGTGTTGAATTCCTTGTGGTATAAGTTTTTGAGAAGTGTTCGGGGCGAAGATGTTGAAATTTAGTAGAAAACGATCAAAGAGCGGGAAGGAACCACAACCTTCCCAATCTTCCCAATCCCAACAAAATCAACCAACTCTACCCCCTCTTACCTTCCAAAATAACAACCACGAAGCCAATTACAAAAAAATGAGGGAGAGGAAG